TCCCACGTTCTGGTCTAACTTCACTGATTTACGAAATCGCTCTCCAATTCAGTGTCTGTGTATTGTTTGTGTTTTCACCCTTTCCCATCACAGTTCAGCCTGAAGTGTTCATCTCCAGGAGTGAGCCCAATTGTCAGGACAAGCCGCTCACTCTCTCCTGCCTGGTCACCGGATTTTATCCTGTAGACATCGAGGTGACCTGGCTAAGGAATGGAGAGGTCATGTCTGAGACACAATCCTTGGGGGTTCAACCAAACCACGATGGGCCTCATCAGATCCAAAAAGATTGACATCCATGCTGGGGATGAGGATCAATATTGAACACAGCAGCCTGGCAGAGGACAAGCTATATCAGTGGGGTAAGGAATTGGGCACAATGTTTCTGTGTGCCTGTATAAATCCACCTGTCCGTGTTTGTGTGTGTTTGTGTTCGTCCCTGGTTATTCAACTGAATGAACTTATATTTTTCTAACTTAATCGGGGTATCCTGAATTAATAAAAAGCAAATTTATTCAATATTAACTACAAGAAGAAATAGGAAAGTAATGTGCACGATAAAAGCTTAGAAATCAGGGGCAAGTGAAAAAGATGAAAGTTAAAAAGAAAATTTGTCAATCTGAATTGTTCACAAGTAATGAATATTTGAACATTGTGGCCATTGCTGCGTATATTACCAGTAGCATTACTTGATACTCAATTTTGAGATTCTTGGCTCTGGAGTTTGAATGGAACTCCTTGGTCCTTATTCTTTTCAGCATTGCCTGATGGCAGAACACAAATTAAGAATTTACCTCTTGTTCTACCTGCAGTGCAAAGCTGTTTAAATGACTGCTCTTTGAGCTGTGACATTCACAGCACACTAGTCCACACTACAGGTCATTTGTTCCCAAACAAACCCAGAACAGGATTGAAGGTCTTTTAACTCCTTTTCTGCCCCTGTGCATTCTTGAAGGAGGGAAGATTCACATGTTTCTCACCCAGACTGCTGGCACTCTTTTAATGTCTTGCTAAGAGTGTGAGATATTCGCAGGAGATTACAGGTTCAGTTTGCAGTACCTTTTCTCCCTTTTGCAGCTTTCTTGACCTCTCATCTAATGTGACATTCCAGACTCTCACACACCCTCCCAGTAACCCCACACCATCACCTTCATGGCTGCCCTAATGCTTCCCTCATGTCAAACGGGGCACGGAGATGGAGAGTTGGTGATCTGATTATCGTCCCAGACTCAGGACATTCCTCAACTTAAAACCCAAAGGTGCAACGTGGGGACAGGAGTGAGAGTGCCATTTCACCTGCCCTCCCACCCCAGGTGCTCACCCTCCTATTCATCTGGATGTCACTCCCCTTCCCCCTCCAGCTCAGTTACTGTCTCACTTCCCACTGTGACCTTCTCCAGGTCCTCTTACGACTCCCTTTGACAGCTGACACTGAACCCCCCCCCCCCCCCACCCCCCGCCACCACCTCCAACCGTTGTGTCCAAAGGCATCGCCTGTCAGAAGGAAACGTTGACAATGAAGATTCCCATTGATCTGTCACACCCCAGAAGCCCGTGTGCTCAGACCTGGTTGAAAAATTCAGCTGGTGACCCTGCCCTTTCCTCACTCCAATACCTGCTTGGTCACCAGTCAGTGACTTATTCCCGATTCCCAGCAGCTGGGGAATGAACACTCCCAAACATTATCAACCATCAAACTCTGAACACACAAGATACAAACATCACTTTGTGTTTCTCCGTTCATTTGGGGATGGCTCATTGGGGAGTTGAATGGTCCTGACTCCCCCAGTTCACAATGAATTGAAGCTCAACTACTGCTGACTCCAAAAGCCACAAGCTGCTGAGTGAATGAATTAAACCTTTCTCATGAAATCATTACTGAAGAAAGTGGACAAATCAACCATAAACCATTATTTATTAATGGCAAACCACAGTTATCAGCATTTGTGGTTAAACATTGATGAATAACAGTAACAGATATTTGTCAATGTAAATAAATCCGAGTTATAAAATTTATACATCACACAAGAGTTCACAGCGGTTGCTTTAAATTCAAAACACAGCTGTTCAGCTTATAATAGAGCGTATGTTAAATAGTAACAAACAAATAGCAAGTGTTTTTCATCAGCATAATAATAGACAGTTGCAAAATTTACACAGATATGTCCATGACCACTAGAATTTGTTGATAAAAAGTACAAAATCATTCAGTTTCCTACAATATAAAAACCGTCTCTGAGTTACCTCAGTACATTGCTTCATTTCAGGTAAATGATTGAACCACTGAAGACAGTGAAGATGAGAAAGTGTGAGGGAGAAATCATCCGTGAAGATTCCTCTGACAGTGAAGCTGCTCACATTTCTGAGATGGGATTGAATCATGACTTGAGAAGGTCTCACTTGAAGAATGAGGTTCCATACCTGCAAATCCGGGATCCACTGTTCAGTCTGTGGAAATACATTCCCAAGAAAAAAAGTCGATCTCAATCCTGAAAGGACTGGGTGTGAACAATGAGCCAAAAATCTGTTTGTCTGCGGTGATATGGAAGGATGGACGATGATGTCCATGTTCACACTGAAACAGGAGATTTCCTTCATTCCTCAATGAGGCTCCGGGAATGTCCTGCAGTGGAGCCCAGGAATCCCACAAAGTAAGGAATGGACAGACACAATGCAATCACTTCAGGGTGGGCAAAGGAGTAAAATTAGTCCGACAGGTTTTAACAGTGTCTGGGACAGTGAGGATGAGAGGGTGAAATTAGTCAGGAGGAGAGGGGAAAGTTACAAATATATCTCTGATAGAAGTTAAAATGTCACTTACTGAATCATGAAGGAGCTGGAAGGGAGACATCAGAAGCTGAGAAAACATAAACAGAATATGAGAAATATAATAATATGCAAAATCAGTGTGAAATATTCTCTATCACTCACTCGATCCAGGATTCAATGACGCTCAGCATACAACTAACCAGACTCACACAGCACAGCACAGAGGCAATTGAAGTCGAGAGTTTGTAGGGTGAGAAAGCTGACGGAGGGACTGGATGATGAGAGATTTTAGGGTGACGAACTGAATGGTGAATGAGTGGGGGTGAGAGATTAAAGGGCAAGGGACTGAAGGGAGAATGATTGGGGTGTGTCGAGAGGAGCGAGAGGAGGATAAGAGACTGGGAGTTGAGGGACTGGAGAGTGAGGAATGTGGCACGTCTGCCACCCTGAGTAACACCGAGGTGAATGCAATTCTACAACTTCCAATGCATTCTGTACCATTCCCAACACTCTGTCCCCTCAGTAACTTACTGCGAGCTGTTGTGTAGGTCCCAGTTGGTGAATCTGCAGAAACAAAATAGATGTCCATGAGAATGGGGAATAATCCATTCTCAGAGAGTGAGAACACAACAAGTATAAGGGAACAGAGATTGTGACAGAAATCCTCATTCCCACACTCTCATCTATCCTTACACATCAGGGAGAATCTGGAGATCTCTTCCATTCTATCAATATTCAGTCAGTGAGGATGTGAGTGTGTGGCATGGTTTTACTGATCAATATTAGACCTGGTCTCAGCCTATCATACAAAGGAAGATCAGACAGGGAACAAGAATGTGTTTATACATGTGTAACTGAGTTTGGGAATTCAATCAGTTCCACTCAACACAGTGTCCTGTACTCCCACTACTCACCCTACACTCACCCTGTCCCCTCAGTTCTACATTACCCTCTCCCTGTTTCTTACCTCTCCAAGGCTTTTTCCAGATGATTATTCCGAATATTGAAGACACTGCAGTAACTAATCCAATCAGAATGGCAAGATGGAAATGTTCCACACTATTTTCAAGGATTTCTAAAAGATATTGGAATAATATTAGAATTGTATTGGTTCCCAGATTCATTCTCAGTTCTGTATTGATTCCCGTTCATTGGGATGGGATTAGTTTAAACACTGGTTTGACCCTCACTCGATTTCACTCTCCAGTGAAGTCACTAAAGATCTGATTGATGAGAATGTAAAAGATCTGGTGATGTACTCCAGTATAAGAGAGAACAATCTTCAAGTAACAATGAGGTCATTTAAGAGTGATATGAGAAAGCACTTTTTCTGAAAAATGGAAGTGAAAGTCTGGAACTCTCTCACCAAATGTTGTGAGTGTGTCAATGCTGTAGCTTTAGAGGTGTGTTTTGTTTTGTTCTTGGAGGACAGATGCTGAGCAGACTAGGAGAAAAATAATTAACTTGTGAAGCCTTGAGTGGTTTCTTCTTAAAAACTGGAACAATAGAAGCAGGCTGAATGGGTGTAGCCAAGCTCCCACTCACCAAGCATTTCTAGTTTTTAATATTCAGCAGCACTTGATGTTGGGGGTCTTGAAGAAATGGAAGCCATTTTTCCTTCCCTTAATTACAGTCAAAAGCTGGGGGTTCTCTTCCTGGGCTGCTGGATTGCATGTGAGACAAATCTATTTTCGAATTTGCCTTTTACCAAGCGTGTGTTTATGGGATGTTACTATATTGGAACAGTTAATTAGCAATAGTTACTGTATCTATTATTCTGTTAAGTTTTCCAATAGAGTTACATTATTCCAAGTTTTTCTTTCTTTTGTTGCATTTTAACAATTGTATTTGAATAAATTATGTTTTGCTAAACGTTGGGTAGTTTGACCAATCAAACTGCATCTGGAACACAGCATCTGACATTTTCCTTTACAATAAGAAAAAGTTAGGGTCTAGGCTACCTTCTTAACATAGTTATTATTCATATAAACAATTGAATGCTTCCAGCCTGAGATCAGGAGGGTTTTGTTGGGGAAGGGCAGGAAGAAACATGGAGCAATGGTGAGTAAAGGGAGTGAGGGACAGATCAGACAGGACCTCACTGAATGCTGGAACAGACTCAAGGGGCTAAAGGGTAAACCCGTGTTCTTATACTTAACACACATTTTATCTAGATCCTTACCCCACTGATAGAGCTTGGCCTCTGCCAGGCTGATGTGTTCAATTTGACAGGAATATTGATCCTCATCCCCAGCACTGATTTCAATCTCTTTCTGGATCTGATGGGTCCCATCATGGTTCGGACGAATCCCCGAGGATTGTGTCTCAGACACGACCTCTCCATTCCTTAGCCAGGTCACCTCGATGTCTACAGGATAAAATCCGGTGACCAGGCAGGAGAGAGTGAGCGGCTTGTCCTGATGATTAGACTCACTTCTGGAGATGAACACTTCAGGCTGAACTGTGATGGGGAAGGGTGAAAATACACAGACACTAAATGTAAGATGGTTTCATCGATCAGTGAACTTAAATCAAGGCATAGGATCAAAATTGAAATACATACCTTTCCTTTTGAAATATTCCTTTCCAGCTTCAAGATATTGCTTCAAACGTTGGACATATACACCTATCAAATATCTTTCCCAGTAGTTGTTCCAGGATTCATCAGAATCCCATTTCTCCTTCAGCTTCACTGCAAAATGATTGGTTGCAACCCATCTCATTCTGTCTGGCTCTAAACTAATGAAATCCTTTCCATCAAATCCAAATCTCATCGATCTCCTCATGAAGCCGTCATCACTGACCTCAACAGAACGTATCCATTGGAGAGTGTGAATTCCTGTCAGTGACCAAACAGGCATCAATCATCAATAATTAATAGATAGTCACACACAGAGGGGAAAGGGGATCTAGTATCAGATAGAAATAAAGGGAGCAAGAGTTGGTGGGGATTTCTTGCAACTCACCACAATCACAGAATGCCTACAATATGGAAGGAGGCCATTTGGCCCATCAAGTCCACACTGACCCTCCAAAGAGCATCCCACCCAGATCCAACCCAGTACTGTATCCCATAACCCCACATTTACCATTGGTAATCCACCTGGTCTACTCATCCCTGGATAAAATGGAGCAATTTAGCATGGCTAATCCACTTAACCTGCACATCTTTGGACTGTGGGAGGAAACAGGACAACCCAGTAGAAACCCACGCAGACACGGGGAGAATGTGCAAACTCCACACAGACAGTCGCCCGAGGGTGGAATCAATCCCAGGTCCCTGGCGCTGTGAGGCCTCAGTGCTAACCACTGAGCCACTGTGCCACCCTTGGCTTCAATGTGGAACTGTATGTCGCAAAAGAGGCATGGTAAGTTGGTCAGCCAGGAGATATCAGGGAAATAGGAGAGATTGACCATAAAATGAAAATGGAAAGGTAGGGACAATTGAAGCTGATGTGGTTAACAGGAACAGCTACAGAGAACAGGAGACGACTAGTTGGGGATGTGGAAATTTGACTCTCAGACAGAGCCTGGATCTCACTGTAAGGAGCACAGCCCGGTTTGCATTCCATCTTGTACCAAATCTCCACTGCACAAAAAAAAGGAGAAATGTGTGCCAGCTGTCCTACAGTGGGTGCAGTATGTTTGTTCTGTTTGGTCTGTGGGGGTAGGATGCACTTGTGGCTACTTCAGGAGGCAATTGCATTAATCAGGCACTGTAGGGTCAATGATTTACTGTCAAATTACTTCTTATCTACAGCTCGACCCTTGTACAACAATATATGTTACAAAACATAGCCTCAAGCAGGAGACCTGGTTGGTATGGATGAGTTGGGCTGAAGGGCCTGTTTCCATGCTGTATAACTGTACAACTCTATGACTCTATATGCAATCATGTCCATTCTATTGAACAGGATAATTTCATTTTTGTCATTGCTGGGAAGCAGAATCATCAACAAATGTAATGGTGTTGCCTGTAGTCACCAATTGTCAAATACATTATAAAGTTCTTATCACAGCACAAGGCCTACAGTGATTTGTAAGTATGTGACAACATGTGCACTGACATTCAATGCTGTATTTCGTGGTGACAAAGGGGATGAGAACTGTTTTGCAGCGTGGAGGATGTATTCATATCATGGTTATAATATCCCAAAGTTCATGAGTGACACAACTTGTGTTGCATACATCACCATGTAATATGTCAGAGGTGCATGTTGAGGCATTGCACAGCCTTCTTCTTGGAAGACTACATGTCCACTGTATTGCAGCCCCCTGTGTTAAAGCCTCATCTTTGTTTGGTGCAATTGTTCAGGCATCACATGACTGAGACACCATGCTATTTCTGATATTTCCCACATGGAATCATCACAAATTTCCAGAAAGGGTACAGCAATGGGAGGTGCTAGTGTTTTTTTTTTGCTATTGTACAAAGACAGAGCAGAAAAATTCAGGTTATAGAAAGATATGAGCAAGCCTACGGTCAAGAATAATATCCAATGGCAATCAAGAATGGCTAAACAGGTTTGACTGTATTCATTAGAGTTTAGTAGAATGAAACATTTAAGATTCTGAGATTGGGTAGATGTTCAGAAGGTATTTTTACAGATGGGGGATTCTTGAATGAGGGGATACAGTTAAAGAAAATAGGGACGCTCATTTATAACTGAGATGGAAAGGAATTTCTTCTCCCAGAGGATGGGGAATGTCTGGAATTCCCTATCCCAGAGATTTATGGAGGCTAGATCACTGAAAGCATTTAAAAATAGGAGGGAGATAGGTTTTTGAAATAGTGGGGAGTTGAGGGTGATGAGGAGTTGAGGCCTGGGACCGATCAGCTCTAAACTTGTAAGTGATGGGCCAGTCTGACGGGGATAAGCGGCCTCCTGCTGCTCCTAAACCTCATGTCCTTATGAGGTGAGGTCAAACTCCCTGTTCCCCTTCTGGCCTTGTCACTGATGCAGAGCACCATCGGCCACAGTGATGGAGTGCAGGTCTGTGTATATTATCAGCTGGCATTGAGGGTTCCGCTGGCCCGGAGTCTCCAACGGCAGCTGCTAAACTCTCCATGGAGACAATTAGACACACGGCATGCAGAGCCAGCAGGGGAAAATTATCATTGATGGACTCTTCTTACCTTCAATGTAATGTCACTTAACAAACCCACCTGCTGCTCCTGTGACTGTGCACGTTGGTGAAATCATGAATGGCTAACACAATGAGATCATCTTCTGCCTGGGGCTGAGCAGGCACCCAGTCTCTGGCCATCCTCCAAATGCCAGGGACCTGGGCTAGTCCTTCCACAACCAACTGCAGAAGCGTGCCAGTGATGTGCTCACCAGAATGTGCAGCTGTGTTAAATTTAGAAAGAGATCCCACTGCAGTGAATGTCACTCAACTGTGGGCAGTGGGGGAGGGGGTTCAGATGAAAGATTTGCTGATGTGCCCTCTGGGGGTGTAGTGATGCCCTCCCCAGCAGTGGAGCAGGAGCTGATGCACTGCGGGGGTTTGCCTCTTTGGGGTGGCAGCTGTGTGGGTGCTGCCTGCAAAAGAGAAGAGAGGGCATGCGTTGTTCAGTAGGTTTATACATATTAAGATGTTGGCAGTGGTGGTAATGGGTGAACTGTGCAGTCCCAGCTCAATATTGCTCACTGGAACACATAGACTTGCAGCTTTCAGTGTTTCCATATAAGTGGTCACACTTCTCTTCAGTTAGTTCAAGGGTCTTCCTTTCTTTGGGACTAAGGAGTCAAACGTTGGTGACCAGTTCCTCCCTATCTTGGTCCTCCCAGCCTGAAGATATGAGAAATTCTCCTGCAATGTGACAAAGGGAGGGAAACCAAACTTAATATTTCCAATCTGATATGACTCTTCATTGGAACTCAGCATTCGGAACTGATTCACAAAGAAGAGACACACGGAACTCGAAATGTTAACTCTGTGTTTCTCTCTCCGCAGATGTTGCCAGATGTATAGAGTTTCTCCAGCACTTTCTGTTTTTATTTCAGATCTTCAGCATCTGCAGTATTTTGCTTTGGTTTGAGGCAATGGGAGGGATAGAGTCAGATGACAGTGGACGGAGGAGCAGTTCTTGATAATGCAAGGGCAGGAAAGGTGGTGAGGTGTCCCCAATGAGTGAGTAAGAAACACAGAGGGAAGGCAGGGTAGTCATTTGGGAGGAAGAAGTGGGTGAGAGGCATTGAGTTGTGATGCTCTGAATAATGGTGAGAGTTTTAGACCACAAGCCTTGTGAGGTTACTGTGCAGTGGAAGAGTGAGAGTGAGTGTGAGGAAGCAGAGAGAAGGTGGTGGCATTTACACTTGCAGACAGAAGAATATCATTAAACTTCTTCTGGCACTGCTGTGCCTTTATATGATTGCACTATCCTCTTTTTAAATGCTTTCAGTGAGCTAGCCTCCATAAATCTTTGGGGTAGGGAATTCCAGACATTCACCTTGGTCTGGTGGTATGCCCTCCTTTGCCAGTCAGCAGGATACAACACTGTCCTCCTCTCCATCACCTGGTCCCCCAGCACCTCCAGGTCTCTGTTGATGGAGCTTCACCTTGCTGGGCCACCTTCTCACTGGAGCAGCAGCGTGAGAGGACAGTCTCAGGCTTACAGCATTTGAAGTGGTGTGGGACTGGGTGTTAAACATGACTCCAGCTTCTGAGCAACTCAAGGCCCCTCTGCAGTGGTAATTACCTCTGGTATTACCCAAAACTATATCAAACTGTTTATTAATGGATAGCAGAGCATAGAATTGTGTGACACAAGTCACAAGTCACAAGCTCATGATGGGAAATTCATCAGGAAACTCCCTGAAATCTGTACTTAGCTTGAAAATGGGAAGCTTCAGCCCCATGATCTGTTCTTAATCATCTCCACTTCCTTATCTCGGACATATTTACTCTCCTTTCACATTGTCCGTTCTGTAACTGGAGAAGATTGATCTCTCCTCTTTATATATGAGACCCAGTGAGATGACAGAATTCCCCAACAAGATGCCCATTTACGAGGATCACAACCATTTTATGGATTCTTACTCACACGATCATAAATCTGACCCCAGGGTAGGTGGTGGTAATGTGGTGATGTCACTGGACTTGTAATCCTGAGGCTTAGGTTAACGTTCAGGGGACATAGGTTCAACTTAAACACAGCAGCTGGTGGAATTTAAAGTCCGTTAATAAATCTGAAACTAATCTCGAAATGGTGACCATAGCAACTGTCATGAATTGTAAAAACCTATCTTTTAGGAAAGGAAATGGTCATCCTTACCCAGAGTAGCCAAAATATGATTCCTGATCCACATTACTAATGGTCCAGGAAATCAGCCCATTGGAATAGTCAGGGATGGACAACAAATGGTACCTTATATGCAGTCATGTCATAATGTCTACAGAGATACAAATCTCCTGATCTTCACTTCTAGTGATCATAACTCTAAGTTTTAACATAGTTACGGATAAAGATAAGGCTAGTCCTTGGGTGAAGGTGCTAAACTGGGAGAAAATGAATTACAGCAGTATTTGGCAAGCATTGGAGAAATTAGATTGTGAGTGTCTGTTTGAAGGTAAAACTCACACCAGACATGTGGGAAGACTTTTTATAGTCAGTTGATCAGAATTCAGGAACAGCCTGTTCCTGTGAGGATAAAAGACAAGGAAAGATGGCAAGTTTTGAGAACCTTGGATGATAAGAAATCTTGAAAGTTTAGTTGAAAAGAGAAAGAAAGCATATGTAAGATTTAAGAAACTGAAATCAGACAAGGCCCTTGAAATATAAAGGAAGCAGGAAAGTATTTAAACAAGGGATTAGGAGGGCTGAAAGGGGCCATGAAAAGACCTTGGAAAGCAGGATTAAGCACAATTCCAAGGCATTTTATACATATATTAGCCAGGGAAAGAGTAGGTCCACTCATGGACTAATGAGGGAATTTATGCATGGAGCCAGATAAAGTGGGTGAGATCCTTAATGAATACTTCGTATCAGTATTCTCCAATGAGAAGGACATGGATGATGGTAAGATTAGAAAGGGGAATGTTGATATTCTCAGGCATGTTGATATTAAGAAGGAGGAGGTGTTGGGTCTTGAAAGACTTTAAGGTAGTTCTGGTCCCACACTCCAGGAAGGATGTGGAGATTTTGGAGAGGTTCAAAACAGGAATGCCTGGATGACAGCAGATGGGCTGAAGGGCCTTTTTCCTGTGCTGTAGATCTCTACGGCTATTCAAAAGCTATAAGGAGAGGTTGACAATCCTGGTCTGTTTTCAGCAGGGTCTTGGTTGTTGAGAGGCATGTATAGGGTGAATAGTTGGAGTCTTTTTCCCAAGGTGGAAATGTCAAATACTAGGGGCCGTAAGTTAAAGGTGAGAGGGAAAAATTTAACCAAGATGTGCGACAAAAGTTTTTTTTTTATACAGAGTGTAGTAGGTGCCTGAAACATGTTGCCAGAGGAGGTGGCAGAACCAGATGCGATAGCAACGTTTCAGAGGCATTTAGACAGACACATGAACAGGCAGGGAATAGAGGGATACAGACCACCTGCAGGCAGTTACTTTTACTTTTAAAATAGTACCATGGCTGGTGCAGAGATGGTGGGCCAAAGACCCTATTTCTGTGCTGTGCTGTTCTATGTTCTATGACACAACTAAATCGATATCTTGATCAGAATAGAGAGAAGCTACAGAATAATGCTCCCAGTGACCCTGACTCAGAGAGTGTGTAACACACCATACAGTCCAGGGTCACAGTCTGCTGTCAAAATATGACAGGGTACCTTTCTGGCACTCAGTAAACAAGGCAGTCAGTGAGAGATACTGCATCCCTCATCTTACCAGATGTCTGGTTCATGCTCTTCATGATTGAATTCAGATTCTCTATCGCCGTGTCCATTCGTGAATTCCCTATATCTGTGAGCATTTTCCAGAATTCCTCACTGAATGAATCTGCCATGAATTGTTGTCTGGGGATCATCCGACGGATATTGCTGTCATAATAATCAACTTCAACTCCATTGATCATTGCAACACCACTGAAAGCAGGAAATTTTTCAATGCCACAGACTGCCGTGTATACCATAGTGAGTGCATTAGTGTCTGTAAAATAAATCAGTGAAAGGCTCAGGTTAATAACCATTAACACACACTACCATCTGATCGAAGTGAGCTCCATCCATACATTGATAATCTCCAATAATCGGCCACTTTATCGCACCGTCAGAATCCTGGCTAACAGTGTAAACAGGGAAATAGACAATCTGGAGTAGGATTACACCTCTGAGCTTCAGAATCATCCCTTTACACAAGGTAGGAGGACGCTGATGAGATAAGCTGAACTATTCCATCATGACAGCATTACAGTTGAGCCTGGGCTGGATTAAAACTGATTACTTTTCTCCTGCCCAGAATGTTTAGAAGACTGTCCACCAGGGATGATGACTCTGTTTTGCTCCCCCGCCAATTAAAATTAATACAAAAATTAAAATTGTCCAAAAATCAATTTTGTTTCATGAGATGTGGATATCACTGACTAGGAAAGCAATCATCGCCAATTCCTAATTGTTCTGGACAGAACCTAATTAGAATGTCTCTTGACAGTCAACAAAGTTGATTTCCCACACTATCAACATCCTGGGTGTCCTTGTGCATGAATCGCAGAAGTTTGGTTTGCAGTACTTAAGTAATTAAGAAGTAATTAAGAAGTAATTGCAGTAATTAAGAAGGCAACTGGAATTTTGTTCTTCATTGCTAGAGGGACTGAGTTTAAAAGCAGGGAGGTTTATGTTGCAGAGATAGTAGGAACTGCAGATGCTGGAGAATCTGAGATAACAAGGTGTAGAGCTGGATGAAAACAGCAGGCCAAGCAGCATCAGAGGAGCAGGAAGGCTGACGTTTCGGGCCTAGACCCTTCATCAGAAATCTACATCTTGTTATCTCAGGTTTATGCTGCAGCTGTATAGGGTGCTGGTGAGGCCACACCTGGAGTACTGTGTTCAGTTTTGGTCTCCTTACTTGAGAAAGGATGTATTGCCATGGAGGGGGTGCAGAGGTGATTCACTAGGTTGATTCCCGAGTTGAGAGGGTTGGTTTATGAGGAGAGACTGAGTAGACTGGGATTATATTCATTGGAATTTAGAAGAATGAGAGGGTATCTTATAGAAACACATAAAATTATGAAGGGAATAAATGAGATAGAAGCAGGGAGGCTGTTTCCACTGGCAGGTGAAACTAGAACAGGAGGGCGGGCATAGCCTCAAAATTAGCAGGAGCAGATTTAGGACTGAATGGAGGAGGAACTTCTTCACCTAAAGGGTTGTGAATCTGTGGAATTCCCTGCCCAGTGAAGTAGTTGAGGCTTCCTCAGCGAATGTTTTTAAAGCTAAGATAGATAATCTTTTGAACACTAATGGAATTAAGAGTGATGGTGAGAGGTCAATAAGTGGAACGGAGGCTACAAAAAGATCGTCCATGATCTTAAGGAACAGCAGAGCTAGCTCAAAGGGCCAGATGGCCTAATCCTGCTCCTGGTTCTAATGGTCTTATTTTACCAAAGAACAGAAACTGAACTGGACTCGCCACATTAATATAGCGGTTTCAAGACCAGGTCAGAGGCAAGGAATACTGCAATAAATAAGTCCCCTTTTGACTCCCCAAAGCCTGTCCACAATCTACAAGCAACAAGTCAGGAGCATGACTGAATACATACCACTTGCTTGGGTGAGTGCAGCTGCAATTATCAAGAAAATTGACACCAATCAGGGCAAAGCAGCCCACCTGATTTGTAACACATCCACAACCTTCAACATTCACTGTTCACCACCAGCAGTGTGTACCACTTTAAAGACGGTGCTGCATAAATTCATCAAGGATCCCTCAGAAAGCACCTTTCAAGCCTGTAGCCTCTACCACTTCGACGGACAAGGGCAGCAGGTGCATGGGAACACCACCACAAGCAGGATCCTCTAATAGCTAAATGAAAACCAAAAGAACTGCGGATGCTGTAAATCAGGAACAAAAACAAAGTTGCTGGAAAAGTTCAGCAGGTCTGGCAGCATCTGTGGAGGAGAAAACAGAACAGTTCTGAGGAAGGGTCACCGGACTCGAAACGTTAACTCTGTTTTCTCCTTCACAGATGCTGCCAGACCTGCTGAGCTTTTCCAGCAACTTTGTTTTTGTTCCTCTAATAGCCACTCACCATCCTGACATGAAAATATATTGTCGTTCCTTCATTGTTGTTGGGTCAAAATCCCGAAGCTCCCTCCCTCACAGCACTGTGGACCTACCTACACCCAAGGCAATCGAGGATTAATTGCTGGCCGAGCAGTGGGATAAATGTGCTGTGACACAAGAATTAAAAGAAAATCCCATCAGTGTCTTCAATGTGTAAAATATCAGGCTGGCTGTATAACAGGCGGCTGATCAAATATCAAGTCTTCCAGACTCTGCTGCCTTCAATGTGTAAAATATCAGGCTGGCTGTATAACATCCCTCATTTCAAACTCTCACCAAGAGATTCACATTCACCCGAGAAAGAGAGAGAAAGTGAGAATGGAAAACCGAATTCTGCACTCACCGGGAGAGACCCAGGAAAAACATAGGGAAATGGAGAAAAGGAACAGCAACATGCTGGGAATCCACTTTCCCAATTCTAATCAGACACGGGGAATTTAAATATCCTGACGGGGAACAAAAAGTTCGCTTTTTATAAACTGGAAAACAACAAAAACAAGTTGCTCGACGCAGCGTTTTATGTTTAATTTCAACCATTTCCTGATTGCAAAACAAAGCACCGGTTAGACGCGGAAAAGTATCCAATTACAGAGACAAGCAGCTACTCGTCATCAGTTACCAGGACGAAGTATCTCAGAGAGGTTACAACTCAGATTGCGAAACAAAAACAGATACACATTTTTTTTCTGAAGAAGGATCCCGACCCGAAAAGGTCAACTTTCATGCTGTTCTGATGTTGCCTGACCTGCTGTGTTTCTCCAGCCCCACACAGTGTTATCTCTGACTCCAGCCTCTACAGCTCTTACTATCTGTCACATCTATATTGCCCCCTTAAGGCAGTGATAAACGCCTCAGAGATAGTAGGAACTGCAGATGCTGGAGAATCTGAGATAACAAAGGATGAACACAGCAGGCCAAGCAGCATCAGAGGAGCAGGAAGGCTGATGTTTCGGGCCTAGACCCTTCTTCAGAAATGGGGGAGGGGAAGGGGATTCTGAAGAAGGGTCTAGGCCCGAAACATCAGCTTTCCCGCACCTCTGATGCTGCTTGGCCTGCTGTGTTCATCCAGCTCTACACCTTGTTATCTCAAATTCTCCAGCATCTGCAGTTCCTACTATCCCGAATCCAGTGATGGTTTTTCAGAACTGGGTTAGTGACAAGGAGCTTATTGAAGAGAGATGGAAAGGTGTGAGGAGGGAGTGAGTTAGAGCCCAGCTAACTGAAGGTACAGCCCTCAGTGTGGGTTGATTTTAATGTGGAATGATCAAGATGCCAGAATGAGGTGGGGTCTGGTGGGGCCCAGAGGAGATCACAGAAACTGAGAAGCAATGGGCATGAAAGGGTTTGAAACCCAGGATGAGAAGTTTACAATCCAGATGTTATTTGTTGGGAACCAATGGAAGTCAGTGATTAATGAGATGGGTGAGGAGCCGAATTTGGCGATCTTTGTCAAATTCAGAAAATCCAGTAAGTGGGGGTTAATAGAGTGGGTCATGCACTGAGGGTCCATTGTGGGGGTTAATGTAGTGGCTCATGTACAGAGAGCCCAGTCTGGGGCTTAATGGAGTGGGTTAGACCCTAAGAAATAGGAACAGGAGAAGGCCATTTGGCCCCTCGAACCTGCTCCTCCATTCAATAGGATCATGGCTGATCTGACATTCCTCACATCCACTTTCTTGCCTTTCCACATAACCCTCAATCTCCTCTTGATCAAGAAACTGTCTGTCTCAGCCTTAAATATACACAAGGATTCTACCCCACAGCTCTCTGTAGCAAGGAGTTCCAAAGACTCACAACTCTCTGAGAGCAGAAATTCCTCCTTAGTTTTAAATTGGAACCCCTTTTGTCCTTCTGGTCCTAAACTCTCCCATGAGAGGAAACATCCTCTCTGCATTTACACTGTCAAGCTCCTTAAGAATCATATATGTTTCAATGAGATCACCTCTCATTCTTCTAAACTTCAATTAGTCGATTCCAAATTTGGTTAACTTTTGTTCGTAAGACAATCCCTCCATACTAGGGATCATCTTAGCGAACCTTCTGTGAGCTGCCTTTAATGAGATATCTTTTCTTAAATAAGTGGACTAAAACTACTCACAGTACTCCAGATGTGGTCTCACTATCACCTTGTACAGTTGCTGTAAGACATGCTACTCATATAATACAACCCCCTTGAAATAAGGGCCAACATTCCATTCCCCTTCCTGATTATCTGCTGCACCTGTCTACTCGCTTTCAGTACTTCATGCACGTTTCCCCAAGTCCCTTTGTGTTGCAGCTTTCTCCAGTTTTTCTCCACTTAAATAGTCCTTTTTTTTGTTCTCCCTTCCAAAATGAATAAGCTCACATTTTCCCACATTGTAGTCCATTTGCCGACTTTTTGCCTACTTACTTAACCTTTTGATGTCTTTCCATTAACAGTTTGTATCCCATTCACAACTTGCCTTCTCATCTAATGTTATGAGGGGTCGATGTATGGAGTCGTGCACAGAGACCCCAGTGTGGGGGTTAATGGAGTGGATTGTGTACAGAGTGTTCAGTCTGGAGGTTAATGAAATGGATGAGAAACAACCTTCTTCCATGTTACCTGATTGTATTTCACTGGTTCATTCATCAAGAGGATCTGTCCATGCAGTCCCTGCTGCTGAGCAACATCATGTTGAAAGTAGCATCAAGCATTAACCGTATTAAAGGTGGAGCTTTAAATAGTTGTCAGTTTAAAGAGTTACTGAAGGACTTGGAATCATAGTTCAGTGCTTTAATTTACCTTTATGAAGAGAGATGACTCACCAGGGGTAGGGGCTGTGCTGATGTGGTTTCACAAACAGAGAAACAAAGTGAACATTTTCATGGAGACAACGGGAAAAGCTGTTTCTGAGCTGAGTGAGAACAAGTGGCTGTGACATTGGGCAGTACCTGCCTGGCCTCATTGTCAAATTGTAAGCTCCCAATCATCCTAGTGTTTCTCTTCTTTCAATGTGAAATCACACCAGGGGACTGTGCAGAGGGTGTAAGGGTCATTCAGTATCCTGGAGCAGTCAGCTCAGCGTATGAGCACTGATGTCTATGGAATACCTGAGCAGCTACATTCCCTTGACAGTGCATTCTCACTGGTGCCACAACAGTGGCCGGAAAGGATAGATGCTGCCAAACAGAAGCCGGACCCAGCTAACCCATCTGAGTACTAAAACTAAGGAGGTGTAGTTTGGTGAAAAAGGTCAAGATTCTCACAGCATCTCAGCACCACTCTGCATCATCTCCACCAGAGACCTTCTCTGTGCTGTTGTTCCAATGACAGTGGCTGTCCCTGCACAAATGCAGAGGCCTGAGTCTCAGGTAGGTGCCTACCACCCTGTTCCTCAATTCCATATAGCACCTGCCTCCACCTCCTCTGAGGCATATTGTGGGGGGGAGGGGCAGCTTCATAGGAACATTTTTGTCGCTCCTCTGTAGTTGCAGGAAACTGTCTCGCATTTCATGTCACTTTCTTAACATCACAATTCAGCACATTGTGAGTACGGGTCACGAGACAGACTAAAATAAAACATTCCTTCCAAACCCATGACTGCTTCTTCACACCCTGAATCCTTACCAGACTTATTTACATCAAAAGCTACCTCCGAATAAATATCAAAGACTACTAAACTGTTCGGAAACAATTTCCTCACCAGCATGAGATAGTAAGAACTGCCGATGCTGGAGTCAGAGATAACACAGTTTGGAGCTGGAGGAACACAGCAGGCCAGGCAGCATCGGAGGAGCAGGAAGGCTGACGTTTCGGGTTGGGACCCTTCTTTCACTTTCTGAAGAAGGATCCCGAGTGGGACGTCAACCTTCCTGCTCCTCTGATGCTGCCTGGCCTGCTGTGCTCCTCCAGCTCCACACTGTGTTATCCTCACTGCCATAGTTACTCTACGACCCACGAGAAACGATGAAAAGGTTATAATATTAATCAGCTCCTTAGCAACTGCTGTTACTGCTGTCCCTCCACCGTCCTGTTACTGCTGTCCCTGCACCGTCCTGTTACTGCTGTCCCTGCACCAGCCTGTTACTGCTGTCCCTGCACC